GCCAGCGGCGGCTGGCCCAGAAGCGCGGCGAGTTCTGCAGCAAGTACGGCTTCTCGGCCGAGGACTACCGCGAGCTGGAGCGCCTGGCCAGGCAGGCCGAGCCGCACCGCGCCGGCCGCCAGTGGAAGTTCGCCGGCTCCTTCTACTTCGCCATCACCGTCATCACCACCATCGGTGAGCCGCCCCGCGCCTCCGGGCTGCGGTCCTCCTCTGCCCCTGCCCGGCGGAGTGACTCCCGACAGGTCGGTTCGGCTCGCCGAGCCCCCCAGCCTCCCTCTGCCGATGGGGCTGCCGTCCGGGAGCTGTTTGCGCAGAGCCTGATGAACGCTCCAGGGGCTGGGCGACCCAGGGGCTGGAGTTGCTTCCTTGCTTGGCTGTATCACACTAGCTGTGTGACCTTAGCCAAGTTGCTTAACCTCTCTGAGCCACAGTTTTCTTCTCTGTAAAATAGGGGTGCTAATAGGCCCTATCTCAGGGTTCATTTTTTTTTTTTTTTTTTTTTTTAAGATGACCGGTAAGGGGATCTCAACCCTTGGCTTGGTGTTGTCAGCACCACGCTCAACCAGTGAGCTAACCGGCCATCCCTATATGGGATCCGAACCCGCGGCCTTGGTGTTATCAGCACCGCACTCTACCAAGTGAGCCACGGGCCGGCCCTATCTCAGGGTTCTGATGAGATCATTATTATCAAGGAGATAATATATGCAGAAAGTTTAGCACAGGGCCTGACACATAGAAGATTGATTTTATATGATAACAATTATTTTGTTACTCCGTGAGCACAGGGACTTAGTCTGTCTTACTCACTACTGTATGGCCAGTGCCTAGCATGTACTAGATGCTCAATAAATAAATATTTGTTGAAGGAATTACTGATTACCACAAGCTTTGGGCCTCACTCACCCTCAGGGATCAGAGCAGTACCTCTGCAACAACTGGACCGCCAGCTGTTGCCATGACTACCAGCTGGCTGGGGAATCGAGAGGGAAAGAGGTAGGCTCTGCAGGGCTCCCAGCTTGGTGCCAGCCACTCCCCGGCTTCCAGCTGTGGATGTCCAGGCCCCCTTGGGCTCGGGCCACCAACCTGGAAGCCGGGGCTGTGGAGAAAGTTTCTCTGTAATGCTCTTGCAAGTGAATGTGAGCTCTGGGTTTAGCGGTGGAGTTAAAGGCACGAGTTCTGTAGTTACCGAGAGTGGAGTTCTGCTCTGGTGTCTTGCCACCTGCCTTCTCCCGCAATTGACTGTACTTCTCTGAGCTCTGGTTTTCTCAAAGCCAAAATGCAATGGTTCCTACCTCACTGGGTGCTTGCCAGGTTTAAATGAGGTCAAGCATGTAAAACGCTTGCACAGTGCCTGAGGCTAAGTCAGCACCACTAATTAGTGATAATAATCATTATTTGCTGACCAAGGCCCCAGCTCCTATTCGGCCCTTTTGCCCTGCTCTTGTCTCCACGGGCACTCCTGCTTCCCTGTCTCGGCTCAGCCTGAGACCCTCCCTGTCACTGTGCTCACTGGTGTGGGACCCCATCCACCTCTTCTGCCCTTCCCCACATTCTTTGGAGGCTCCCAGATGGCACTGGCCTCCTCTCCTGGCTGTTCCCCTCTGACATGCATCTGGGAGCCTGGAGAAAGAGACTCAGAATAAAAGTGGAAACAGGAGGAGTTTTGCTTTTTCTGGCCACCTGGCAGTGCCACCACCTGCTGTGTGGTCCTGTCTACTTCAGCCATTCTTGCAGAGAGCCAGGAGCCAGGACCCAGGAGCTCAAGTTCTCCTTGGATAGAAGCACTGAGAGGCAATGGAGAATGGTGGTTAATAGCTCAGTTCCTGTGACCTTTGGGCCACTTTCTCCCTCTGTGCCCAGTTTCTTTATCTGTAAAATGGGGATAATAATATCATCTCATGTAGTCATTGGGAGGGTTAATAAGATAGATAACCCATGAGGAGTACCTAGCATGTTTAGTTATTACCATTATTCATTTCACTCTCAGCTAAAACCTGGCATAGCCCCAAACAGCTGAAAACAGCACTTCCCAGCTTCTTATTCCTGAAGAGGCTCCTCTGCCTTGCACTAGCACCCCCTTCAAATTGGCTTGATTCAAAAAACTTTCATTGAGCCTGTAGTCTGTGTCAGGCTCTGTGCAGAGCACTGGTGTCTGGGTGACATAGAGAAGTGACTGCCATGTCCCTGCCCTCAAGGAGTTCATAGTCTAGTGATGGATGGAGCCCCCTTCCCCTAAATAACAGAGATGCAAACTGATAGGGCCATGCAGTAGAAATGTGGATGTGGAACCATAAGTCTTGAAATATGCCTGTTGTGTTGATATTGTGAATAAGTTATATAAGCACACAGCACACACTTCACAGGGTAAAAAAGGGTATAGAACAAAAAGGAAGTCTCCTTCCTGCCCAGTCTCTCCACCCATAAATTCCACTCCCTGGATCAAATACAGTTACCAGTTTCTTGTGTATACTTCCAGATATTTTCTCTGCCTATATATTCCTTTAACACACACACACACGTTATATAGACATTATATTACACATACTGTTTTGTCCCTGCTTCTTTCACTTAACATATTTTGGTGATTTTTTTTTTTTTTTTTGTCTTTTGTCTTTTTTCCGTGTCCGGCAACGGATCGCAACCCTCAGTGTTGCCCCTGTACCGGACCGGGGACCGGCAACGGGATCGCAAGCCTCGGTGTTGCTCCCGCGCCTCACTCAGCCAGTGAGCGGGAGCCGGTCTGTATGTGGGATCCGAACCCTCGGACGGGAGCGCCGCCGTGCTTCCCAAGCGGCGCACTATCCAGTGCGCCACCGGGCCGACCCTTTGGTGATGTTTTTATATCAGTCCCTGCATCTTCTTTTTCATGGCTGTACAGCAGCGTTTCTCAATTTCGGAATTATTTTGGACTGGATAATTCTTTGCAGTGGTGGGGGTGGGACTGTCCTGTGCATTGCTAGATGTTCAGCAGTATCCCTGGCCTCTATCCTCTGGATGACAGTAGCACACAGCCACCCCCTCCTCTGCTTGTGACAACCAAAAATGTCTCCAGATATTGCTGAATGTCCCTTCAGGGTCAAAACCACTCCAGGGTTAGAACTCCTACTGTGTAGTGTTCCATCATTTAGATGGCACCATGATTTATTTGACCAGGCCCCTACTGATGGAACTTAGGTTGTTTCTAATTTTTGATATGACCATCAATGCTGCAGAGGTGACCCACATGCATAGATCATGTTGCACATGTGTGTAAATTGGATGGCTAACTTTCTAACTCAAACTGCTGAGGTCAAAAGGTTTGTATATTTTAGGGCCGGCCCATGGCTCACTCGGGAGAGTGCGGTGCTGATAACACGAGGGCCACGGGTTCGGATCCCTATATAGGGGTGGCTGGTTAGCTCACTTGGGAGAGTGTGGTGCTGACAACACCACATCAAGGGTTGAGATCCCCTTACTGGTCACACACACACACAAAAAGAAGGTTTGTATATTTTACATTTTGGCAGATGGGCCAATCTACTAGAGGAGACATACATATTCTGTTGATCCACTCTTCCTGGGTTAAGGGCCCCTTTGAGAATACCATGAAAGCTGGTGCTCCTCTCCAGGAAAACATACATGTCCATTCATTCCAGCAATGACACATGTTCCAAGACAAGGAATCCTGGTCATGTTTAGATCCCCTACAAGGACTGAGGGGACCCAGTGAAGAATATTGCTACACCAGACAGAACCAGAACCAACAGGTGTTTAGTGAGGGCTGACTGAATGGTCAAGGGGAGGCAGAGACTGGCGGAGGGGAGAAAGGAGCAATCCAGGGGAGGGAAAATCACGAGGAAAGGCATGTAGAGTGGGACAGGCTGGTTGGTGACACAACATGGGGTGTAGCTGGAGAGAGGGGATGTGAAGAGAAGGGAGTGAGGCTGGAGGGGGTGAGATTCAGATCAAGAAAAAGCTTGTGCACCGTAATTCAAATGAATACTTGATAACTGCAGCCATGATCAAGACATGAAACCCCCCGAAATTCCATCACCCCACAAAATTCTGTCATGCCCCCTAATAGTTAACTCCTCCTCCAATGACTGGCAATCCCAGGTGTGTTGTCCATCCCTATAGTTTTGCCATTTCCAGAAGGTCATTTAAATGAAATATGCAGTAGGTTGCCTTTGGAGCTTGTTCTTCCATAATAGCCCGATGTATTTGAGATCCACCCCTTGGTGACAGTAGTTCGTGCCGTTCTGTTGCCGAAAAGAGTTCCACTGTTTGGGGTACCGCAGGTAGTTCATCCATTCCCCAACCGAGGAACATTTGGGTGTTTACACTCCGGGACGTTTATAAATAGCCACGCACGGTTTTAAAGCTGGGGAATGACCTAGTCGAGCTAGTGTTTGAAGATGGTCGGCGGGGCTCTGCGATGCGGGGGGGACACCAGCAGGAGGGCTGCGGGGGGACGGTGTTCCATGCAGCTGGGCACTCACCGACCCGACCCTTCACTGTCCCTGCACAGGGTACGGCCACGCCACGCCGGGCACGGACTCGGGCAAGGTCTTCTGCATGTTCTATGCGTTCCTGGGCATCCCGCTGACGCTGGTCACCTTCCAGAGCCTGGGCGAGCGGCTGAACGCGCTGGTGCGGGGCCTGCTGCTGGCGGCCAAGCGCTGCCTGGGCCTGCGGCGGCCGCGCGTGTCCACCGAGAACATGGTGGTGGCCGGGCTGCTGCTGTGCGCCGCCACCCTCGGCCTCGGGGCCGCCGCCTTCGCGCACTTCGAGGGCTGGACCTTCTTCCACGCCTACTACTACTGCTTCATCACCCTCACCACCATCGGCTTCGGCGACTTCGTGGCGCTGCAGAGCGACGAGGCGCTGCAGACGAGGCCGCCCTACGTGGCCTTCAGCTTCCTCTACATCCTGCTGGGGCTCACGGTCATTGGCGCCTTCCTCAACCTCGTGGTCCTGCGCTTCCTCGCGGCCACCGCCGACGCGCCCGAGAGCGTTTAATTTTCAACATGAGCTACATGGTCATAAACACAATGCAACGTGACCCATTCCAACCCAGGGGCCAGGAACCCTCCCTCCCCAAAGGCCCGGGAAGCTCCTGCTCCTGGAGAGGGAATAATGGAAAGGTGGGTGGATGGAGAGAGGCCCCAGCCTGAGGACCTGGGGCCCTGTCTTCCTGCCACCCCTCGGGAGGCTGTCAAACAGTGAAAGGGCTCCAGAGGTGATGCCGACAGCCCTGGGTTCAAGTTTCCACTGCCCTCACAGAAGCTCTAGGTACAATGTACACCCTCAGCCCGCCTCACAGCGTTTGAGTCAGGCGAGCTCGTGGATGTGAATGTTCTTCATCCACTCTAAGGTGCTGCTCTACGGACAGGGGGCCCTCCTAGAGGGCCTCAGGAGTCACTACAGGGGAATGGTAGTGGGCCTGGCATAGCGCTGCTGCTCAATAAATAAATGCAGGTGACTTCGCCTAATGCAACAGCTGTGCCTCCAAAGGGGGTGGGACTCAGTTCTGTTTCCGAACACTGAAATGTGCCCAGGAGCTCCTGGTTTAAGGAACTGGATGGTGAATCAGCTCAGAAAGTGCATAACCACCCCCTTAACTATCTGCTTCACCTCCAGGCGTAGAAGATAGAGCTCTGAACTATTGGAGAGCTGAGTTCTAGTCCTGGCCCAGCCACTAACTCACAGTAGAACCTTAGGCAGGTGCCTTCCCCTCCCAGGACCGCAGCTCCCCTCTCTTTAAAACGGGGATGACAACATAGGCCCCCATCTACTACCCAGGGGCTCTTGTGAGGGTCAAAGGGTACACTTGTGGTAAAAACACTCTGAAAACAGAAAGTTTGAAAAGCACTACAAGGAAGGCCAACTCTCCTTACATCTGAGTTTTAGGAGCATTTCCCTAAGGTGAGGTGAACCACAGCCTCACCCTCTCACAGCCCCAGGCAGGAGCTGGTTTTTCTCAACTCTCCCTCCAGTTGGTTCTGGCCCCTCAGCAGGAGCCCTCACCCAAACATCACAGCCTGGAACAAATCCTGCACACCCTGTCTGCAGGGCCAGATTCCCAAGACAGCGAAGTCTCCCTGGCAACCTTCTCCCCCAAACCCAGGCCCAGGAAGAGCTACTGGCACCAGAGACAGACCCACAGGGCTACACAGCCTGGGGCTTATTCAAGGCCAGAATTATGTACCATGGCAGACGTGCCCTGGGGCAATGGTCTCCTGTCACCTGAAGGAAGCAGCACGATGGTCCCCAGCTCTGTCCCCATTGTTCACTTGCTGAGGGGTCTTGTGTGAAGCAGGTCCTTTTCCTGGGCCTCAGTTTCCTAACCTTTCAGATGGGCTACAACTCATCCTGCCCATCTTTCCAGGGCCACTGGGAGGCTCCAAAGAGCAAAGGGAGGAGGAGGTGTGGGAGATGGCGCCACGCTCATCCTGCCCTGGCTCCAGCTCAGCCTCTGCTGGGAGTGGGAGACTCAGGCCGGGGGTGCCACTGACCACACAGGTGACACCGGGGGGGGGGCTCTTCCCCTGCGCAGGGCCTTGGTCTCCTCATCTGTAAAATGGAAATGGACTAATGGTCCCAAAGGCCCTTTTCCCTTTTATATGAAAAGAGGATTCTGGAGCAGGAAAGTGGAGATGGCTCCCTCCCATGGCCCTCCTGCAGGTGATCTTAGCCCAGATTGAAAAAAACACCCTCTAGAAATCCCAGCCTCCCGAAGTCTCCCCCTCCCCCAACTCCACCCTCTCTGCTTCTCTCCAAATGGTGGTGTTGGTGGGCAGGGGATCAGACAGCAGAGGGGACAGGCTGACCTTGAAGGTTTCCCAAAGCTAATGATGAAAATAAGTCACTCCCCCTCCCCCAACCCCATCCCTTGGTGAGGACAGACATGGTTCCCACACCCAATGTCACAGCCCCTTCAAAGGGTGCTCGTGCTCACAAGGATGACACAAAGAAACAGGGCTCCAGTCCCCACCCCACCCCTCCAGGAGGTGAGCAAGATTTCACAGAACAAACAAGAAAATCACTGAGGGGGCCCTGGTTGACCACCCCCAGGGTGTTGTTATTGCTTCAGAGCTTGCTCTCTCTCTCTTTTTATAAAGGCTGTGCAGACACCCGGGGGAGGGCTAAGCTGGGGGTTGGGGAGGGGACCCCCAAGCCAGCGCTAAGCCCCCTTTCTCTCTGGTTGGGACAGTCAGGCTCTGCCCCATCTTTGAATAGCTACCCCTGAACAACCAGTGACAGCTGGAGAGAGAAGGTGCTCTCCTGGCTCAAAATATTCCAAATGGTGAGTAATAAAGAGTGGAGAAATCACACTGGTTAAAAAAAACAAACGGGGGAGGGGCTGATTCTGGGCCTTAGATGTGAGTCCATCCAGAGCCCTGCTCCCTCCTGCCTCCAGCCTTGGGATCGGAACCCCCACAGTTCCAGAAGCTCTGAAGACCTCCTGGATAAAAGGGGCATCTCCATCTCCCCTTCCCAGTGCAGTGTAAGAAGCTCCATGGAGGTGGTATAACTCGATCAGAATGTTAAAGGATACCCAGGGCTTAAAACAAGCTGAAGGGAGGGGAGAATTTCCAGGTTGGGAGGAATTGCCTGATGGGACCGAGAACAGGATGGGACCGAACACAGCCTGGGTATCCTCAGTGGAGAACGACACACTCTAATGGAGACTAGGCCCCCTCCGCCAAGGCCCAGCAATCATCAAGAGTGCCTCGTAAGGAAAATCAGTACCAAGGATAATAAATTGGAACATTTGAGTATAATGGGCAGCTCCAGCTACAACCCTACAGGGGAGAGGGGAAGTGGGGGGAGCAGGAGGAGGAGCTGGCCCCTGGTGAGCAAGTCTGCCTGATCCAGGCCTTGGCCAGCAAGGAGACAGTGGTCTCCTGGAATGTACTTGAGTCTCCTCTGCACCCCCATCCTGGGACTCTGTAAGGACTATATATGAGCTAAGAACAGGCCCCAGGGCTTGGAACACTAACTCTACCCAGCTAACCTGGACTACGCCCTACACAGCAGGGACTAGGTAAAGAGGAGTGGTAGGCTGCTGGGTGCCTCCCAGGGGAGGTGGCAGAAATGTGCTTCTAGAAAGAGGGGCCAGCCTCGCATGCAAAAGGGCTACCGCAGGCCCCAGGGAAGGCCGGGGCTGGGAAGGCAGCTACCCAGGCCTGCTTAAGAAGGAATCTCCCAAGTCTTACACTTGTACCTCTTCTGTTTCTCTCCTACCACCATCTTTCCTTGAGCCAAGATAACTGAGGCCTGGGCAGTGGGTTCTGCCCTTAGTACAGGATAATTTGTTCAAAAAGACTAAAATTGGGGGGCTCTATTGCCTCCCCAGACCCCTGGCCTGGAGGCAGAGGGGTAGACAAGATGACTTTTGACCTCATCCAAAAAGGAGGGGTTCTCCTATATGGGAAACCCTTACCTTGGCACTACCAATCCTAATTTTAGCTTTCCTTAGCCTCCCCCTCCAATCCAACATCCCCCAAATGCAGAGACAGTGAGCTCTCTCAGCTTGGGGTTCTGGAAACTCAGGGTCCCACAACTCCTCTGCCAAAACATAGATGACAGCATTCTTTTCAGTCTACCAACAGTTCTCAAACTAGCCTGCTGCAATCCCTTGGAATGAGGCACCCTGGGGGTCTGTGTCAGGCCCCGGGTACCTCCTTCTTTCCTTTGGTCTCTGTTGGACCCCAATTCCTAGAGCCATCAGAAGAAGGGCAGGCAGGAGGGGACAGACAGATGGACTCAGACAGGCTGCGGCAAAGCTCCTTCCACGGGCAGGCAGAGGGAGGCCTGAGCTCCTCTTCAAGTGGGGGGGCTCTGGGCCCCTGGGAGCTGGCTCCGGATCCTTGCAAACTGCCCCGTCAGCTCTGGGGCAGGAGTAGCTGCCTGAACCCGGTGCCGCAGGAAAGACACTTGCTGGTAATTGGCACCATGGAGATGGCCGCTGGGTTCTGGATTTGGCTCCGGGCAGCAAGCTTCCGAGGAGGCAAAAAGGGGGAGAGGATGGACAGTGTTTGGGGCAGGAGAGTGGTTGCTCTGCCACCCCAGTCTTTCCTTTCTCCGGAATGCAGCCACATCCACCAGGTCAAGAACCGGCCAAGTCAAAAGTGCAGCCAATCCCATTGGGAGAGGGAAAGTCTCGGGGGTAAAAGGCAAAGAAGGGGTGAGGAGGGGCCCAAGGGGGGCAGGTCTCCCCATTCTGCTACCCCACTATGGGGGGAGAGCCCCGTCCTCCTCTGTTCAATGTGCCCCTGGGCCTGGGGTCCCAGGTCAGGGCTGGGCAGTCTCCAGGCCATCTTGGGGAGCCCCTCCCCATCCCCACCACTAAGATCGCTCGCCACAGGGCCCCACGGTGCTCTCGAGGGACAACTGGGATGCCTGCCGGAGCAGGGGGCCCGTGGCTGGGTCCACCATGGAGGAGGTGGGGAAGAGCTTGTACCAGCCCACAGCCAGGGTGGTCAAGTCCAGCTCCTCCAGCAGCACGCGGGCCACACCCATGAACTGCTTCCGCTCCATCCGCCCGTAGTTGCCCCACACGATCACCTGTTGGGCAAGAGACACAGTGGTTCAAATCCTGCCAATGCCACTCAGAGGCCCACAACCAGTACGTGGAATCACCCCCATGCCCAATTCATCTGAGTCCTGTGGTTTCCACCTCCTTAAAATTGCTCAAGTCTGACCACCACACGCATGTGCCCCAGTGCCCCTCACCTGCAGGACTTTGCCCTGGGGGCTCTCAGGAAACAGCAGCACCTGGTTATACAGCGGGTCCAGTGACTTGCGAGCAACTTTGGTCTTTTTCTTGGCAATGCAGACACCATTCTCTAGCAGGTAGGCCTTGATGTAGGCCGCTGGGGACAGAGGCCAGCAGAGGTTAATTCTAGTCTGGCCCCTCAAACGGTGGGCAAAGTGTACAACAGAGGGAAGCTGTCCACCCACTGCTGGGGATGGGGGCCATCTGGGGGGGTCTGTGGAGGAGGCAGCATGGGCAAGGTGGGTAGGGGGGCCTACTCTACCTCCCTGGTGGTCCCGGCCACTTCCCCCGCCTTGGCTCACTCTGTACTCACCTGTTCTCTCTCAGCCCATGACTCGCCCACCCCTTCCCTGGCTTATACATTCACTCACTGACCCACTCCCTCAGCAAGTGCTCGCTGAGCACCCCGTGTGTGCAAGTACCCTCCTCGGCACTGGGTATAATGAGAAATAGGAAGGATGCTCTCTGCCCTCCAGGAGCTCAGTCTACTGGGGGAGTCCAACAATGTCAACAATCTCAACGGGGTCTCCAAAATAAACCCTAAGCCACCACTTCCATGTCAGACAATAGAGTTGGGACAGTGGGTCCCCCCCCACCGAGTTAGCCCAATTTTCTCTCTTCTAAACTGCAGATACCCCTAGATTCTGACTTCCACCCCCACCTTGCAGAGGGGAGGCAGCCCCCACACCTGGCAGTGTCTTGGAGCCTGGCTTGGCTGTCAGTCCCCGAGCCTGGATGATGTCCACTTCCAGCTGACCATTCCGCTCCTGCAAGCCAATCTCCACATCCCCTGCAAGAGGCCCCAAGCGATGAGACTGGGAAATGACTCAGAAGCTCAAGCAAGGACTCAGCTCTCTCTGCTTAGGAATAAAATTCCCTTCCCCTGCTCCCAGCCCAAAACAAGACCAGAACCAACTTCCATACCAAGTGCCTGGGCTCTGCTGAGAGCTGGGCAATGTGGACCAGGATCCAGGATGGGTGCATAAAGAACATAGTCAACAGGCAGAGGGGAAGGAGGGAGAGACGCAGGGCTTCCAGTGGGACCCCCGCCCCTGTCCATTGGGAACAGGCCTTGGGGCACTTACCCATGGGTGTGGTGGCCAGGGTCTGGCGGCCCACAAACTGCGCTGGCCCCATGCTGCCCAGGAAGTCACTGAACTGGGCATCTGATGCCAGGCAAACTCCCCCATAGTTAAGGCTGCAAGAAGAAAAGAGACAAAAAAAAAATTCCCAGGGCGGACTGAGTATTCTGATGACTCAGGCAGTCAAGCTCCAGAACGTCCCTCATTCCGCAGCAATCTTGTGTCCACATCTATCACCCTACCTTGCCTTGCTAGGCCTTATGTTTCACCTACATGAAATGGATATGTTGATACTTACACCTTGGGGTGGTTGTAAGAATCACAGTATGTAGTTCATCAAGTGCCTGGTTCATGTGGCTTTAGTGCTTTGATACTCAAAGTGCAGTCCAGAGACCAGCAACAGCTGCATCGCTTGGGAGCTAACTGGAAACACAACTGCACTCCACTCCACCCCCTGGCTGCTGAGTCAGAATCTGCATCTTACCATGAGCATGAGCCCCAGATGGTCCACTTGCACGGGAAAGTCTGAGAAGCACTGCGCCAGCAGCTTTGGACTCTGAGGTATGCACTTGCTGCTGCTGCTTGGCTACCCAATGTCCACTTCCCCTCCTTCTGTTGAGGAGACCTCAAATTTCCTTTGGGGAGCCCCCTCCCCATGGTACATGATCCCTGTGGGGTAGGGCAGAGCCAACTTCAGAGGCCAGGCCTGCAGCTCAGCCTGGCCAATCAGGGCATTCCTTCCCCTCAGCCAGTGATTGGCTAAGACACTGACAGGTACGTGGCCCAACTCAGCCAACGAGAATCCAGTCTGGACACTTTGTTTGAACAGTGGGGAGTGAGAAGCTGTCTTTTTCCAGCAGACTTGGGCCTGGGGCCTGGAGCCCAAGAATGAAGCCATCAGACTGGTGGCACTGCCTGAGCTCCTGGATCAAGCTCTGCCTGAAGCAAGTTATTTCATCTTCTTTTGATTACAGAAGTCAATAACAATAATTATTATTATTTTGCTTACACCAGATTAAGTTAGTTTTCCCCCTCCCTTCACCTCTCTAAGCATTCCTCTCCTGTCCCTAAAGTGGGAGTAACATGCACCCACCTGCTAGGTCTGTTGTGAACATTAAGTGAGATGAGGCGCCAAGTACCGTGGCTGATGGCACCCCTGCTATCTTAGGGAACAAGGCACTTACAACCCATTCTCTCATCTGATCCTCACCACAACCACAGGAGGCTGGTTTTTACCTTTATCACCATTATTCAGATGAGGAAGCTGAGGTCCATCCTTGACCTAAAGCCACAGGCTCACAATGGCAGAGCCAGTACAGTCATGCATCACTTAATAACTGGGACACATCCTGAGAAATGCAGCTAGGTGATTTTGTCACTATGGGGAAGTGTGTCATGAAAGGGAACAGCAATGAATTTTCCTATTACCTACACCAACCACTGGTTGCATGAGCGTGGGCTCTCTAATCATGTTATTGAGTCTCTCTGTGCCTCATTTTCCTCTTCTTCTAAATGGGGATTAGACTAATACCACCCCACAAAGTTATGAAAATTAAATCACAGGTAGGGATTGTGCCTGGCACTCAGCAAGCAATCAGTGAGTGTTAGCTAACTGTTAATAAATATTATCTTGCTATGGGGATGGGTGGGAATCATGTAAACATGTAAGAATTCTAAAGTAGACAAGAACCCTTTCACTTGGGGTCAGACCTACTCTGTCAAATGCTTGGCTTTCTAAATTAAAGGTCTGAGCTACCTCTGGGAGGGTCACCCTGTGGATAAGACAGACACACCTCCTGACCATACTGCACAGGTTTGTTTACACCAGTATCACCCAAACATGTGAGTGATGGGTTGTACTATGACATTATGTCACTAGGTAACAGGAATTTTCAGCTCCATTATAATCTTATGGGACTGCCATCGCATACACAGTCCATTGTTGACCAAAACTTCATTATGCGGTGCATGACTGACTATACCTGAACACAATACTTCCAAAATCAATCCCAACTTTCCATCAGAGCATGTTCTAAGAACAATAGTTAACTTTAAATAAGCACTTACTGTGTGCCAGGTTTCACAGAAGCAGCCAGGGAGGTCTTTGAGCAGGAGGGAGAACTGCGCTGATCTTGAGGGCACTGCGCTGTTTTGTTCACTGCCCTGAGCCCCCTCCCTCTGCCCCCAAAGCTCTCTGCTTAGAGAGTATGCTGGAACCTCAGCCTTGCAGGTGCAGGAGGAGCTTCCGCAGGAGGTGGGCTTTCTGGTCCCTATCCACCTCCCCCCACCTGCACGGGTGTCCCTTTCCACTTCCACTCTGCTAATCTACCTTTTCCCAAGTTCTTCAGAGGTAACAGTTCAATAATTCTCCTCCCTTCTAGCTCCAGCCCCTCCCAGCCCTTCACAGTCTAGACATGCTCCCTGCTGGTTGAACCAAATCTTTCTGATTGCCATCATGCCTAATTGTTAATTCACAAAAGCTCACAGTTGGCAAAAGATTCGCCCATTCACTCAATGAATAGTTATAGGAGGATGTTCTCTAACCCAGCACTACCTATGGTGCTTACTGTGTGCCAGGCAATGGTCTAAGTGCTCTACACTTGTTAATTCACTTTAGTGTTACAACAACCCTCTGAGGTCAATACTATTATCAGGTCCACTTTACAGATGAGCTAGAGAGTCATACAGGTAGTGTGTGGCCCTGCCCCACCCTCTCAAATGAGGCTGCATACTCTCACACCTGCCACTCGGTCTGAGGGCTGATTTTCTGGCTGTGAGAGCACATTCAGCCTATGTGCAGAACAGTCTGGACATGCCTGAGGGTCAACACCCCTGAAGCCAGTGACAAACTGGGAGTGGTCTGCAGTTGGGATAACTTGGCCATAGTCCAGCACGGTCCCCCAGAGATCCCACTGCCCACAGTGGTAACAGGCTTGATAACAGATCCTTTACAAACTACCCCTTCCTGTCTCATTCCTTGCTGCTCCCACATTGGTGATTCCTGGGACCACCTGCCAAATCACCCATGTCCATTTGAATCTCTGAGTCAGGGTCTGCTTCTGGAAGAAGCCAAACCAAGACAGAGGCAGACAGGCAGTCGGGCTTTGGAGTCTATTAAACATTATGCATCAGTGCTTTTTTTTTTAAAGAGAAAGTATGGAAAAAATAGTCCCTTAAATGTCTGGGGATTGAAATGTTCACACTATTCTCGCAAAATCAAAGATCCTTAATTAATAGCACTGAGGCTAAAACCTAGACACTCTCACAGCCGGGAGCATGGACTTTCCTCCACGTCCCTGGGTCTCTTTTCCATCCCACCCTCCCGGTCATCTGGGGGGGTCCAGGTTTCATTTTATAAGGAGAGTTGGGGCTCCAAAAGCCTGTGAAACAGTGGCTTCATGGGTCCCAAGGCAGGGAAGGAGCCCAGCCTCCCAGGCAGATCGAGGCCTTCCGCAGCCTGAATTGAAAGTTTCCTCCAGCATCATCATTGTCTGCTCCTCAGTTCCTGGTGGGATTGTGAGCAGACAATAGGGAACTGGCAGGCCTGGTAATTAGCAGTAATTGTTTATAATATCTGGGCGGCTGCCCGATTTCCCATCCCAGGGTGCTTCGCTGGCTGCCAAGGAGCCAGGCTGACGCCCCAGAAACCCAAATGGATTATCACATCCTCCATGGCCTAGAGGAAGGAGGCATAAAGTGGTGACAGGTTCCTGCTGGCCAGAGGTGCAGCTGCATCAGAGACCCCACTCCACCTACGGGTCTTCCCTGGAGTAGTAAAGAAGGTAGAGGCTACAGAATCAGACCCAGCTCTACTCCTCACCAGCCGTCTGCCTGCTGTGCAATCCCTAACAAGTTGTTATTGTCTCTGCACTTCAGTCCACGTTCTTATTGGCAAGCCAGATCACACTACTGCATGGACAGCATGTGGCCGTTTAGTTAGCTGGTGCCTGTGCTGTGCTAGTTTTATTTAATTATATTATTATTATTATTATTATTATTGACAGCTGGCTGGTAAGGGGATCTGAATCCTTGGCTGTGGTGTTATCAGCACTATGCTCTGACTAAGTGAGCTAACTGGTCAGCCCCTGTACTATTGGTCGACAATGGACTGTGTATGCGATGGCAGTCCCATAAGATTATAATGGAGCTGAAAATTCCTGTTGCCTAGTGACGTGATGTCATAGTACAACACATCACTCACATGTTTGGGTGATGCTGGTGTAAACAAACCTGTGCAATATGGTCAGGAGGTGTGTCTGTCTTACCCACAGGGTGACCCTCCCAGAGATAGCTCAGGCCTTTAATTTAGAAACATTTTAAAATGTTTCAAAAATCTCAGTTCACAGGATCCATTAGCAAAGAGGTATGAAAGAGCTTGTTGAATTACTAAGTATCATATTTGCTACTACTTAGACCAGTCCTTGTATGCAACAGGAACTCAATAAATGTTCACTGCCAAACCCTACAGCTTGGTCTTAAACTGGAAAAATAAGAGACAGTGGGTAAGACTGAACCTTGGCATAATATAAACCTTGGATTCCACTGCTATGCAACCTGTGGCAAGTTTTTTAACCTCTCTGAGCCATAGTTTCCTTGTGTATAAAAAGGGAATACCCAGTATTCCCTTCTGAGTTGCTGTGGAGAGTCAGTGAGATGACGCAGGCAGGGTGCTTAGCACGGAGTACCTGCTGGATAAATAAAGGAATGGGATACTGTGGCCTGCTGGTCCTGCTGCCCAGCCTGGGAGAGCCTCCCCGCCCTCCTCGTTTTCATGGTGTTTCTGATTCCAGATCTGTCAGGAAGTGCAGCACCTGGATGCCTGAGACCAAGCCCAGGCCATCTGGAGGGTAGGAGGGGGGACAGCAGCAGCCTGTTCCCCCCCAGGGCATGTGCCAGGTGGGCAGAGGCAGACGCCTGAAACAGGATTACAGCCCATGTTCCGCTGGTTTTTTATTTTGAGTTAATGGCAAAATGTGATTTCCTGCGTTTCAAATCCTGTTAGTTTTGTTTGTGGAGCTGAAACCCATTTGTCCTTTATTATTAACCTTTGAGCTTGCCTTGGCCCCTGGATTTTCTGTGTTCTTGGTGGTTAAAGAAGTAATTGGGTTATTCAGGG